CGTGTTAGTTTTATTCTGTGTGTGTGGTGGGGGGGGGGGGGAGTTGCGGATATCTCTGCCAGCATGTTTGGTAGTTTTGAGGCGTAAGTTGGAAGGAGATGTAACTTAGCTTTTTATGTCGCAAGAAACGCGGTGGCAGACATTTTACAGACAGGTAAGGCACCCCTTTTTTGTTGTTGTTCCTCTATCTATCTATCTGTGTCGGTAAAAGTGTTGGGAGTTTGTGGTTGTGCTTCAATTTCCTATTACTTTTCACTCCACGAATTACACGCGTACGGTTGTCGTGGTGGGAAGAGAGGGTGAGTGAGTGAGGAGGCTGGAAGAGAGGCCTGCTTGGTCCGGGATCTCTTTTGCTCTCTGTGTGTGGTGCTGCCGCGTGTCTCCCCGCATTCCTTGTGAGGACCTCGAACTGCTTCTGGTAGCGTCCAGCTTAACTGAACACATGCGGGAAGGAGGCTTGTCAATGCACCACCGTCCTTGTGCATTCTGCTTTTCTTCCCTCGTAACGGATATGCCGCTCCCTTCTATGCCTCCCTTGCCCCATTTCTCTAATGCAAATGTGTGTATGGCACTCTCGCTTTGTCATGGTAACAGTCTTCGATGCCGCGTGTTTGCTCTTTGCTCATATACACAACTGCATCTTTCTCGTGCCGTTTTTTTTTTGCAGAACTTATTGAATTAAGGAACTCGTAGCTCCCTGTGTCGTCTTCAGTAGTAGGTAGCAGCAAGAATGTATCGCCGCGTCAATGCTCACGCAACTGCAGCAGTGGCGGCTGCGGCCAGTGCCGCCGCCGTGCAAGTGCGGGCAATCTCGGAGTATAAGTTCGGACAGGCGCCTCTGACAACGCCTTGGAGCGGTCCCTCGCGTCTGTCCTCTCCGACAGAGTCGAAGTCCGTGTCTGATCAAAAGGTGAAGGTTTCTCAGCTGCACAACGGTGCTCGCGTTATTACGCAGCAACGCGATGGAGCGATGGTGTCTGTTGGCGCCTACATTCTTGCGGGGCCCGCGTACGACCCGGTGGGCTGCCCGGGTGTGCACGGCCTGCTGCACCTTGCCCTGACGACGAGCAACTACAACAACTCGCTTTTTCAACTCGACCGCGAGATTCGGAGCACGGGGACCGCCTTCTCCCACTTTGAGAAGGACAAGCACTTTATTTGTCTCCGCCTCGACGCACGCGCTGATATGTGGCGGAGTCAAAAGACTGGCAAAAAAGACGACAAGAACCAGTTTACGCTAAATCTTGTGCAGGACACAATTTTCACCGCCATTGCCGCTCCGCGATTTCATGAGACAGACATTGAACGCTTTCGTGACACGGTGGATAACAATCTTAAGGAAATGAAGTGGCAAGCGCCCGAGGAGTACGCCATCCAGAGGCTTGAGACGGTCGCATTTCATAAGGAGCCACTCGGTAATCCACGGCACGTGCCGGAAAACAACAATGGCAATATCACTAATAAGGTTCTCTTGGAGCAGTACGCCCAGTACGTGACACCTGATCGAGTCATCATTGCTGGGGTGAATGTTAACCATGATGAGCTCATCACTGAGTACGAAAACACGCCGTACACGCACTCCATCAACGCTCCACACCATGCCGCGTTTGCAAATCAGAACCGCGCGACTTCCTTCGACGTCAACAAAGAGAATAACCAGTACACTGGTGGCGAGGCACATGAGCATGAAAATCGCGCCAAGGAGATGGGGACCAAGCCAGATATGGATAATGAAACAATTGTTGCTGTTGGTTATCTCTCATTTGGTCGGGGAATGACCTCAATCAAGCGCTATGCCGCGTCCCTCGTGTATCAGCAGTTGTACAATATTCTTATCCAAGATTGTTTTCGTGGCGCATTTGGTGGATCCAGCAATGGAGTGCGCTCCTTCTACCTTCCATACCAGAGCGCGGGCCTTATTGGTTTTACGGCGAGGTCTGAGCCGGAGAATATTGTGAAGATGGTGACGGCGGCAATGCGGGATATGCAAGCGCTGAAGTTGGACGACGCAGCGGCAGTGGAGAGGGCGAAGCATCGCGCTGCTATAGAGGCTATGGACCGAAACTGGAACACGGTTCGTGATCTGTGCGACTACATGGGTACCAGTCTGCCTCTTACTTCGATGGCGCAGAACTCCACGCAGTATATGAAGCCAGAGGAAGTGCTTGATGCCATTCGTGCTGTTACCCCTGCAGAGCTGAAGCAAGTGAAGGAAGCTGCCATGGGTTCGAAGCCGTCTTTGTTCGGGCATGGTGAGATGCTGGCGTTCCCATCCCTGCGTCAGATGGGATTTTGATTCTCTGACAGTATAGCATGGGCGTAGCAGCTAATTAGGAATGAATAGCAAGGGTAGGTGTGTGTCAGTCTGTGGAAAGAAGGGGGAAAAAAGGGAACATGGTATATGTGTATGTATATATATAACGTGTGTCCTTGTCTGCGGGAAGCGATAAGGAGGGAATTCTGGAAATGTTGCGGGCCAGAAGTGTATTGTCT